CTTCCAATGAAATCAGGCCTCAGAAACTTATTAGCTGTGTGATCCTGGGCAAGTCACTTAACCCCATTTGCCTCAGTTCCTTCACCTATAAAATGAGCTAGAGAAGGAAATGGCTGACCACTCCAGTATCTTTGCCATGAAAACACTAAATGGGGTCCTAAAGAGACAGACATGACTGAACAACAACTTACTTTGATCATCTATGTAGTTGCCATTTAATAAACAGTTGTCAAACTGTCAACTTTTATATACTAGGTACATTTTGAATTCTACATACCTGTTTCTTGGATGAATTGAATTCAAGCAACATTGATGTAGTAAACAGAGAAAGTAATGACAGAAATTCAAATTTCAATTTTTTTGGTCTGGATACCCAACGTATCAAATTGATGTAGGGCAGTCTTCCCACAGATTTATCCTTGGTTGATCACATGCTCAGAATCTTACTGAAATGATACCTCACCTGGATCCTAGAGGGCAGGATTTCTATGAAACACTGGAAAATTCCAGGGGTAAGAAAAATTCCAGATAGGAGGCATTTAACTTGGGATTTTATTTGACGAGTTACAACATTCAGAGGTCTAGAATCACTACCAATCCCCACCAGTGATCAGTCCTAGTTGATGAGCTTTGGTAAGGTCAAATTTTTCAAAAACTTTCCTCCTATCAACTCAGTCAAGAAGTTAAATAATTGCAGATTGTGGGTATAAATGATTTCCACAAATTCTAAGTTTACCAGTCTTAGACTTTAGTACTGGCATGACTGGCATATTGTAACTAGATGGGTATGAATGCATGGGACACTGAATCTCAGTACTGTGAACCAATTCTTTCCTAAGTTTTTGTGTTATTGCTTGGCAATGACAAAGGAAGCTTCTCTAAAGAAGCCATACTCCACATTCCTAATACAACCCTCAGTGATATTAAATGGGTAATCACTATAGTCTTGAAGGATGCTTTGTGACCGCAACAACTTTGATGAGGGTCATTATGAGAAAATATGGTCAATAATAGCTATTATTTATTTGATATTTAGAGGTTTGCAAAGTGACCTATAAACATCACCTCATTTGGTCCTAACTACCTTGTAAGGTAAATACTATAGGTATTGTTACACCTATGTTACAATTGAGGTTCAGAGGAGTTAAGTGACTTATTCATGGTCACACAATTATTAAAAGGTGACATAAGAACTTAGGTCTTTCTTGATTCCAAGTCCAATGTCCTTACCACTATACCTTACTGTTAAATGTATCTATTGATTATCGATATATATAACTGGTGTCAATACCTATCTTACACTTATAACCATTTGTAAATATCGTATTATCCTCAAGCACCTTGTCATTAACCTTCAAAATTACCTATTTCTAGGTTTTGTTGAAATCTGAATAACCAAATTATCTTTATATGGATTATTATCACACTCTTAGGTTTCCTTCTAATTGATTTTGAATCGTATACCTCACCCCTGGTACTCTCTCAAGGTAGTCTTTCTTTTTATAAAATCTGTACTCCTTAATCTACAAAATTATAACCTTCAGTATCTTGAGGAACATTTAGGATTATTTCTCTGCCTTTGCACTGAATAGCACTTACATTAGAAATCACTAGTTTAATTTGTCTAATATTTATTTACATAGATAGATCCTTACCTGAACCATTAGAAATGCTAGATTTAGTTTTGTCACATAATTCCAATAGTAAGCTTCAGTGTGAATTCCACTTACAAGGTGATACACAAAGTGTTATTTAGGAAATCCCCAAAATTTCAATGTTGAGACAGATGGCATAACTCTGTAGTATAAATAGCAGTGCCCCCATCAAGCTGCTGATTACATTTGTTAAATTTAAATCTCAGTACAATAATGGATGGTGCTGATAAGATGTATGTTTTCCAATGATTCTAAAAATTCATCCAATACATTAATGCAAAATTTAGCTTGTACGATGAGAGATCTTACTATGGCATATATTTCAGTCACATTATCTAGAGAACAACATGCTGCTATTTAAGGTTCTCTATCTTTTTTAAGGTGGAAGAGCAAGCCTCTCTCTATAAATTCCAGGAATGCCTCAAGTTCCAGGGTGGAAATCACATTTCACTCCTTTGCAGGAACTATTTGAGTACTGAGTTAACACTAGTTGTGGTTGTCAGACTTAAAAAGAATGCCATCTTTTGTGCCAGAGTGGGTGTTATGTGGGTACCATTTAATAGGTAAGGGACAAATAGGTTTGGAATATGAATACAAATCCAAGTACATTATTGTAGCTCACTTCGGCAGTCCAGAAATACAGCAAACAAGTATAGGAATTCAAAAAGAACAAGATATTATGGAACTCAAAAGGAATAAAAAACCAACATTGTACCATATAACCTCTAGAACATATGTCCCCAATGTCATTATTAGATTTGAAAGTGCTCGATTAAAGAAATGGTGAGTAAAGCCAGAGAAGAAGTTCATTCATTCATCTAAATATTTATTCAGTAAGCATTTATTAAGTGAGTGTGCCTAATGTATTCAAAAGACTGTGGTATGTGCTGGGGTAGACACAAAGGTAAACAGGGTATGTTTTTTGCTCATAAGGAACTCAGTGAAACATAAATGAGAAACAACTAGGAAAGACGGAAGGGAATGGCTGTTACTTTCTACTGGGAAATGAAAACACAGTATTAGTTAAAAAGTAAATATGCCTCCAATGAAATCCAACTTAGATGCCTCATCATAACACAGAAGTGGCCTTGGGTTCTCAGAGACTATGCCAGGGTAGCGCAAACTCTGGAAAATACTATCAATCTGAAAGGCTTTAGAGTTCAGTCACAGTGGTCAACTCTATTATTTGTCATCCAAGGATTAGCCTTGCTCACTTTAGAAAGGCTCATTAAAAAGGGCTGGCCATTATATTATGAATATTTTTGGCTACAGAATTTTATGAAACCATCTACTAATGATGCATGAAGGGATTACTTGGAAGGAGTATCCACAGTAAAGAAATCATGAATCATTGAAGTGTTTTAAGTAATTACAGCCCTTGCTAATTACAGGGAGAAGAAGAAAATGTTATAAAAGGATGTCCTGGGAAAGTCACTTAACCTCTGTCTGCCCTAGTTTCCTCAACTATAAAATGAGGATAATGATAGTAACTACCTCACAGAGTTTTTGTAAGGACCAAATAAGATCCTCAGGTTTAACACTTATTAGTACTCAGCAGGTACTTAGTACTTAGTAGGTAAATGTTTGTTCCATGGAATATGAATATGGACCAATAATGAACATTTTGAGGGAAAATATATTGACTGGTCTGTGGGGAATTTATGGGAGGACAAGAGAACCTGAATGTGTTGTAATCCTCAGGATTAGACAAAATACTCTACAGAAACCACAGATGCACTGAAGTACTTAAGCATTAAAGAAAAGGCTGAAAGTAAACTCTAAGGTGGGTCTGCCACTACAGCTGCAGGGTGTTTAATCACCTGCATAGCTGGCCACTTGTGTACTAGCAGTGACTTTTGGTGCCCTTCAAGGACTCCCTCTCCTTCCCTCTGTGTGGGGTGGTAGGCATCTAGGTCTATAACAGAAAAGTTTGCAAACCGTAAAATGCTATAGAAATGCTAGTTATCAACATAAGAAGATGTGGAACTTAATAATACCTCAAAGGACTAGAAGATGAGGAATTTAATAATACCTAAATGGACCAGGATTTATCAATTGATGCGGCATTCTTTTTTTAACCCATAAGGCAAAGAAAAGATAGGATAAAAATTTCTATTTCAAAGTAAAATTAAAAACAATTTTTTTTTAAATTGCATCAACCGATGCTCCTAATCAGCAGGAACTGACCTCTTATAGGCAACTAAGATGAGCAGTGGATAGAGGGCTGAACCTGGAATCAGAAAGACTTGAGTTCAAATCCTATCTCACATACCAGCAGTATGACCCTGGGCAAGTCATTTAACTGCTGTATACCTTAGTTTCAACTGTAAAATGGGGATAATAACCTACTTCTCAGGGTTATTGTGAGGATCAAATGAAATAATAATTGAAAGTGCTTAGCATAGTACCTGACATATAATAGGCACCTAATAAATGCTTCAACAAAGGAAACATGTTTATTTCCTTACAGTGTTTAAGAAAGTGAAGAAAGAAACCTGAAAAAGAACTGGGAAAAAAATTAACCTTTACATAGCGTTTTGTGGTTTGTAAGTGGCTTCACACTTGTAATTTCATTTGTTCTTCACAACCCCGTATTTAATCCCCTTTTTACCAATGAGAAAACCAGGCATTAAGTGACTAGCCCCAAGGTCGCACAGAATGTAGAGGCAGGATTCCAACTCTGGTCTTCACCGAATCCAAGTCCAGCACTCAACACACTATGCCACCCCGCCTGCCAACAAAGTCCTACCTCGTAAAGAAGATGCTAGAAACCTGGCAAAACCTCGATTCCAGGCACGAAGTACGTTCAGTCGTATGCAAAGCTTTGCTAAACCTACCAGCGGGTCCTATTTCTGGAAGGAAGATATAGGCAAAGAGTTATGGTTTCAAAACAATCCAGATTGTTTGCGGCCTCTCCGTTCCAGGTGACCAGCATTACATCCCTCCCGTTATTCGCCTCTCCCAAGCCCAGCCGGGATACCACGGAGAGAGCCATCAGCTGGGACACCAACTCACTGTGCGGAGGACCCGGCGAAAAGTTGTATTTCGAATCATGTCATGTACCTGCCTACAACTCCCAGCAACCCCTGCACAAAGTCAACAAATAGACCGCGGTTCCTCATTTCAGATTTTGTGCAAGACCGTTTGCAGTCGCTCCTGGGAGACGCAGTTTCGCGGTGAAGTCATTATGGCCGATCCTTTCTCAACCTCTGCAAAAGCGAAACTACATTTCCCACAAGGCTGCGAGAGAAGGAACCGGGCAGCCTACGTCACTGCGGCGGCCGACCAATCAACGTGCCGGGCGGCGGTGAGGCGAACGCCGTCAGGCGCCAAAGTGTTTTTTTTGCCCGAGCCGAGCGGCTGCTGCTAGCGGAGGCGCCATATTGAAAGGGACAAAACTCCGGCGACAGCCAGTGACACAAACAAACCCCCGGACCCTCCCCCCATTTCCCCAGCTCTAAGGGCCGAGATGTTGTACCTAGAGGACTATCTGGAGAGTGAGTGTGAGGCGGGGCGGCAGCTGCCCGCGGGAGCGTCGGGCGGGCGAGCAAACGGGCGGGCGGGAATGGGGGGAGGCGGGGGGGATGTTTCTTTCTCACGGTAACTGGCAGCCTCGCTGTGGGCTGCCGCCTCCCCTCGTCCCCCTCCTTTTCGCACGCACTTACGTATGGACGTACTGCGTAATTTGGCCTCTGGCCCCGCCCCCTCTGACGGGTTCTGTCTCTCCGACAGTGATTGAGCAGCTGCCGATGGACCTGCGGGATCGCTTTACGGAGATGCGCGAGATGGACCTGCAGGTGCAGAGTGAGTGACTTTTCCCCGCGCTTGCTTGAACTCCGAGCACCTGTTCCCCTCCCGCCAGCGCCCCCTGCTGCATAAACGGCCTAGTCTCAGCAGCGCCTTTAGTCTGGTGGGGTTTGGGATGGGCGGGTAGCGGATGGTATTCTCCGAATGAACATGCTTCTTTGGCGAGAGGAAGTGTTTGGGGAAGTGTTTGACTTCGTGCAAAGGTTCGGGCCACTTAGAATTGTGCGGAAAACTGCGTGTTTATTTAAGACCGTCTGAGAATCTTTTTCAGTGGAATTCATAGCACAGCAAATGTGAAACTAGAGGCTTTTGGGGGGGATAGATTACAGATGCTGTCAATCATGTTTAAATTAACTTCAATTTTATTTTCATATAGACAAACTTGTCCGAGCACCAGCCTAGGCTTTTGTGGCTGCATTAAAAAAACAAAAACAAAAAAGCTGTCTCTTAATAGAGGATATGGAAGACTTAACAGTCTTGAGTGAGGAGAGAGTGAACAAAGTCTAGAAATGAAGTTTCCTTCTGGGAAGGTTCTTGCCTTTTCTAGTAGTGCAGATATAGGAACTTACCTAACATCACCTGTGAAGTGTCCGGGACCAATAACCTAACTTCCTACCCAGGCTACTGTTCTTTCCACAAGACTAAGTGACTTTTCTACAGAAGAACATCAAGTGATTCTTTCTTGTGAAAGATGAGGCAGTACCTCAAAATTGTGCTCCAGAACAAGAAAGGAGTCCAAGTACATGCCCAGCTTTTTCCAAGGAAGGTCTCACTGAGCCTCTGTCTTCAAATATGTAAAATGGGGATAATAGCTGCACTACCTGCCAGTCTCATAGTTGTGAGGATTAAACAAAAGGGAAGGGAAAAGAATTTTAAGAAGCATAAAATACAGTAGTAGTATGGAAGAACAGTATTACAATCAGAGCTTGGCTCTGTCACTTAAAATTTAAGAGAACTGGGGCAAATTCTTCAACTTCTCTGAGCCTTGGTTTTCTCATTTGTGCCTCAGTTTCTTCTGTAAAATGGGTATAATGATGCTAATAATGAATGAATAAATAAATAATGATACTCTTATTTCATGGGATTGCTGTGACAAGATAATGAAAATATTTTATAATTAAAGCACTGTGTAGGTACAAAGATTTATTATTAACACTCTGCTGTGTGTCATTCATCTTTTTAGTAGTAGTCTCCGACCATTAATGGACAATTCATGTGAATAGATGAGCCACATGAGGAACAATTCCCAGAAGGTCCTAGGACTTAAGCTACTATGTTTCCTTGTTGTGGGTAGGATATAGATTTATGACTTGTTCTGATCCACATGTATACCTGCAGCTCTGTTCAGCTTCTAGGGATCCTTAGCTCTGTCTTGTCAGACAGAAAGAAGATGAGGAGAGAGATGTCATTAAGACTTCTATAGTCTCTTGTGTAGACTATGAAAGACATTATCCAGTAGGAACAATATTTTAAATGAGTTCCCCATGATAACACTCACAAAAGCTGATAAAACTTTTTGTAACAGTATCACTTTCTACTCTCTTTTTATAACAAATGATATTTTAGTTACATTCCAAGTTAAGTAACTTTGTGAGCTAGCATGAGGACTTAACTATGTTTGTAACATTGTCTCAATGAGAAAATATGCTTTGAATTCCAAACAGTTGATTTACAAATTAAATTTTAGAATACAACAGTTTCTAAGGCTGGAGACTACCAGTACTCAAATTGTAGAAGTATAATTCTAAAGCTGGAGAGAACCTTAGCGATAAGTCCAAGCCTTTTGTTTTACAGATGAGGAAACAGGCCTAGAGACATTGTGATTTGTCAAAAGTCATATTATGGAGTAAATAAAGTGGATTGTATATAAATGGAGGGGTTTCTTTATATTTCTTTTTATTTTGAAGGGTGGGGAAGGAGTCCAAAATCTATGATTTCATTGATGTGTTAAGAAATTTTGTGAACTGCTAACAACCATATGAAAGAACTCCAAATCAAGAATAATTAGAGAAATGCAAATTAAAACAAGCCTGAGATTTTGCCCAACAACCAACAGATTGGTAAAGGTGACAGAAGATAGGAATAGTCTGTATTGGATGGGGCTGTAGAAAGATGGGACAGTATTGGTGGAGCTGTGAATTGGCTCAGGCATGCTGGAAGGCAATTTCGGATGAGGCAAAGAAAGTGACTAAAATGGCCTTTACCTTTGACCTGGAAATTCTGCTGCTAGGCGTATACCCTAAGGAATATACCCCAAAATATAGGAGTTCTTCTTGTAGTTGCAAAGTAGATTTCATGAATGTAATGGAATTACTCTACAAGAAATTATGAATATAATATGGTAAATACAGGAAAGTATGAGACAACTTAGATGAACTGATGTAAAGTTTAATAAGCAGAGCCCGTGAAAAAATATGAATGACTACAGCAAAAAAAAAGGAAAGAACAAAAGCCACCAAGCAATGAAAACTGAGTGCTGTGAAATTATATGAATGAGCTTGTCCCCCCCCCAATGCTTTTTTTTTGCAGAAGGAAGGGGGCTATGTATATGGAGCAATGCATATAATGTTAATTTTTTTTTTCTATATGGCTAGTTTTGTTGAACTGTTTTCCCCCTCATTTTCTTTTTTATGAGGTATTGTTCCGTAGCAGAGGATAAAGGGGAAGGAAACAATGGGAAATGCAGATTATATGAAAACAAACAAAAGATAAGAGTAAAATTTATTTTTAAAATATTCTCTATGTGTTTGTAGATTTGCAACTCATCTGCAACTTACAGTTTTAGAGTTGCTTGGGAAATTGAAAAGATAAGTGATTTGTCCATTTTCACACAGCTAATAAGTGTCAGGGGCAGGTCTTCCTATATCCAAAGCTAGCCCTTTAGCGGCTAATACTACTCTCTTTAAATCTTGATCTGTAAAATTACCTTAAGGTCTGTGAGTCTATGAAGATACATTATTACAAATCGGAATGTCTGTTCTGATAAATAAGTTACAATGATTTACTTCCAGTCACATATGGGCTCCTCCCAGCTTGGCAATTTCTGTACCTGTTTAATTTAGTTTTTACCTCCAAGGAGTTTCCATTCAAAAGTTAAAAATGGTAATATAGACCATCTGTTTGTATCAATTTCATTGAATGTTGAAGAAGTTGCTTAGTTAAGAAAGGAAAATAATTTTAAACTATTTGATCATTTGGGGGACTTGTAGTTTTTTCTTCTATTCAGGAAATTAAGACATCTTATCATTTTGCTTTAAGATAAGATACTGGCCAGTGAAAAGGGACAAATGGAAGTATTTTTTTGGAAAGAATCTTGTAAGAAAGAAAGGCAAGTTATAAAATATGATGTACATTTATTTTTATAAGGAAAAATTTATGTATTCAGGGTATGAGATTGGTAACATAATATTGAAGGCTTCTTTTTGTATATTGTAGATGCAATGGATCAACTAGAACAGAGAGTCAGTGAATTCTTTATGAATGCAAAGAAAAATAAACCTGAATGGAGAGAAGAACAAATGACATCCATCAAAAAAGTATGTTCAGCATTGGAAATCATTACCATAAAACTTGGAACATTCTAAGGAAGACTGAGGAAGATTGTCGTTTTAATTTTCTTTCTAATTTCTTTCTAATTCAGGAAGTAATTGTTGGGCTTTTACATGATTCTGGACTTTCTGAAACTTCAACAGAAGGAGTTACAGTAATTGAAATGTTTTCTTCATGATGTAATTTTTGTTTCATTGAAAGTTGTGTCTTTTCATTTAAAGTTGCAGAATTATAAAAATGAGTTGGTTCCTCTTTTCTTCATAAATTAATATATTTGAAAGAATACTTTCCTCTCAGTTCAATCTGTGCCATTTCAATATAGGTCATTGATGAGATGTTTCTTGTAATCATTTGCTTTTACTTTCAGAGGATATAAAATAGACCCTTCAATTTTGATATGATGTAACCTGGATGAAAAATCCCCAGGACTTTTGACATACCCCATAGATTGCCAGACATCTAATTTGACATGTGCTAGATCGGGTAGACTGAAGGATTCCTTGAACCCTAGCTAATTGTGGACTCCCCTGAATTCTAGCCAAGGCCTCCATCTGCCCCTGTGCTGAACCAAAGCTTTTTCACACAGGTACACTATTGGCCTAAGCTTGGTTATATTCCATAGGACCCTAAGAAAGGAAAGTTAAGAACAGAACCAGGACCAAATCATAGTCCTGACAGTCTACCAGATTTAGGACTGGAGCAGAACTGACTTAGGTAGTAGGGATACCTGAAGTTCTGAAGATCTTTATCCCAGAGATAATTAGATCCGTCAGCCTCTGGTGAGGTCTGATGGCAGGGTATTAGGGGAGTACAGCAGCATGACATAAAAATTAACCATGTTTTCCTGAATTTAATTTGTTCTGGACAATGGTCTGATGGTTGAGCTGTATGAATCGATATGTGATTTTATGATTTTACAGGGAATATAGGATGGCTCAGGGGAGCTGAAAATTGAAGATGAACTTATTCTTTTAATATAAGTGCAAATGACATTTTTTGTAATGTTTCTTAAAGGCTGAATATTTAAATGTACTCTTCTATCAGCTTTTAATCATGATATTAAACATTCAGTAGATAAAGTAATCTTTTTTTAGCCTTATTTGAACCTCAAATTGAAGTTCAGTTTGAAATTGTAACTTTATACCTATTTTTCTTCAGAACCTTTCCCAAAATTCTGAAGACTTCAGTTACTTCTTCCTTGACTCCCCTTTTTTAAAAGTTTTTTTTTCTAATGGAACCTTAGAACTTAGAGACTACGTAAAATCCTAGTAGATCCAATGGATAACATCTACAACTCTGATTTACTAACTTTACTAAATTTGAATGAGTCACTTATTTTGAGCCTTAAGTATAAGGGGTTGGATTAGATCAACAGTTTTTAACTTTTTTGGTCTCAGGACCCCAAAGTGGGTTATAAAAGTCTCTATTTTCCCTATTAGAAATTAAAGCTGATACATTCTTAAAATATTTTTAATTAAATTAACAATACAAACCCCCCATATGTGAGCATATATAACATTAACAATAGGTATATGTTCCAAAACAAAAAAAAATTAGTGAGAAGAGTGGCACTGTTTTATATATTTCTGCAAATATCCTTAAATATCTGGCTTTATAGAAGATAGCTGGATTCACAAATCAGCTGGGTTCACAAATCTCCATCTGTATTCTATTGTGATATGTTGTTTTGGTTAGAAGAAAATTCCACCTATCACAGATACATAGTTGGGAAAAGGAGACATATTTAATAGGCCAATAATATCTTATCATTATTATGAACACAGTTTTGACCTCATGGACTCCCTGAAAGGGTTTCAGGGGCCCTCAGGAATCTATGTACCATACTTTTATGTACCATTTCTTCTAGTTCTGACATCCTGTGAGCCTGTGCTTCTGTATCTTAAGTGAGCTTCTTTTGCCTGTTTTAGAGTGCTTCATAGCTTCTACTTTAGTTTTCTTACTAGTTCCTATTGGGTTAACCACTTTGGCTAGTAGAGTCTCAGATAGTATAGGAGTTTTGATGATCCTGCAACAACAGTTTGACAACCTCAGGTGATTGAACTACACAGCATTATCTAGGAGAATACAAAAGTTCACTTTGCAGGCTTCCACCAAGAACTTGACTACCTCCAGGTGAACTTCCCCTACAGCAACGTGCAGTGCTGAGCAGGCTGATATCTTCTGGCTGATAAGACAAACCTTTGACAAGCTGAAACATCCTCCCTATAGGCAGCAAAGAACAGATTTCTCCACAGTAAAATTTTTTAAGGCATAGGGATAGGGCCTGGACTGTGGATTTCATTGGTTTAGGAACTTCTAGTCTTAGTTGTTTAGAGCAGTGAAAGGTTGAGCAACTTGTGTTTACTTTTTAATGATTATTGAAATTTTCTTTTTAAATGTTTGCATAATAAATTATGTAGGAGCTGATTTACTTACTGATGAACCAGTGGATCATAGATTTAGAACCAGAAGGGGATCTTAGAAACCTTCAAGTCTAATCTCTTCATTTTATAGTTGAGGAAACTGACATCTAGAGTTTAATTGACTTGCTCAAGATCACACAAATAATAAGCACAACTAAGATGCAAACCCAGGTCCTCTAACTCCAAAAAATAATGATAATATCTGACATTTATGTAGGGCTTTAAGATGTGTAAAGCACCTGACATGTTATCTCATTTGAGGGCCACAATATATGAAGGAGGTAATATATTATCCTCGTTTTACAGAGGATAAAATTGAGACTCTCTGATATTAAGGGACTTGCCTTTGGTCACATATCTAGAAATTTCAAGAGCATTATTTGATTTTAAGTCTTCCCAATTCCACAGCTGGTACTCTCTCTGCTATACCATATTGTCTCCAAAATCTAGTGTTCTTGCCGTTACAGCACTGTTATGTGAAGTCAGTTTTGTCTCTGAAATACACTTTTACTTTTCAAAGTTTGTTATTGACATTAACATATTTTCACACAGGATTATTATAAAGCTTTGGAAGATGCAGATGAGAAGGTACAGTTGGCAAACCAGATATATGACTTGGTAAGTAAAATTAAAGGATATAGAATCCAGTTAAAACTTACTACTCATGGATTGGATTTGTACTTGAATGTTTAATGGTATTTCAGCTATGCTTGTCCATCATTTATAATATTTTTATGGAGAAATACAGTTTGGTTTCTAGTTCTGGATCTTGGGAACATATTTCCCCCTGCTGTTGGCATCTGAGAAGAAGGGGCCCCTTTAAGGGATGGGTAGGTAATCTTGAGCATCAGCGTCTTATTTCTTCAAACCTCTGCACTATTTAAAACAAGGTATCTCTAGATTAGCCATTTACCTGCTGTTCTGAATTGAGCAGTTGTTTCTGTGTCAGTGGTAGTAGGCTGCTTTTTGATGTGTTCTCTCTCACTTCCATTTTCTTGAATATAGTTCATTGAGAGTCAAGTGTTCATAAGTAAGGACCTGCCAGTATGTCCTTTTTTTGAAATTTTTTTTTAAAAAATAAAGGGAGGTAGTGAAGATTAAGGATAGAGTAACAGCCAAAATTTTTGCCCTGCATTTGAATTGCTGAAAAAATTGATTCGGACTACATACTATTATAACTACAAACGTTATTTTAACAAGAATTGATTTTTAACTTTTATTTTAATGGCTGTAATCTTCTGAAGTTAGTGGGCTCTCCTTCTCTAGTGTGTTTAACATGAAATATGCTTTCTTGGCATCATTTTGTGGTTTTCTTTCAAAGTATTATAGACATAATAACATTTCACATGAATACTTGATATAGTCATTTTTGAAAACTGAGAAGGAAAAAAAATAGAAATAAAATATTATTGCCTATGTCACAAAATAAGTCGCAGAAAACAGAATAGTGTCCTCATTTTTTTTGCTTTCTGACTTTTGGTTTAATGACATTGATGACTTTCTGACATTGATTTAATGACCAATGCCCCATGTGGAACCTGGAACAACAAATACTACCTCAAGCATTCCAGAAAGCAAACAGCTTGCAGGGGAGCAGCCGTTAACAGGAGAACTGGGTCAGTGTCTTCCTATACTGTAGGCAGTTTCTCTAGCTTTTCATCGTCCCTACTGCTGCTCCACCCTTATTAATTGCATCAACACTAGAGCTTTACATTACCACCTATTTCTCGACTGACACAACCCAGGCATCACATGCCACGCCTCTTACCACTAGAATCCAGGACAGGACCTGTCCCTCAGCCATCTGGCCCTCACCCATAGGACTTAAACCTTAGATAACTAAGTAACTAATTTCTGTTACTTCAAACCTCTAACACTAGGCCTTCCCTTACCTTTTAGGACCCTAACAAAGACCAAAGACCCAGATAGTAGATCTCTTGTTTTAAGAAGCTATATTTGAAGGGCTGCTGATAGCAGGCTTAGTCTCCACATTTCCATTGTGGTACCCTCAACCATTTGTATGGTACTTCAGAGTGGGAACCCCAGTCATAAGATATTATAACCCCATTCTATGGCTCTCAAACTCCTGCCTTTACCTTTCCTAATCCTAGTGACATGCATTACCAAAGTAAGTGTTATCTTCTCCCTCCTCCCCCACACTTCTCATTCTTTTATCCCCATCTATCATACCCCTACTTCTCTCATGCCTCTTCCAGCCTTGTCCTCTTCTTGTGCCTTCTGAAATTCCCATTTGTTCATTAACACACTTGCCTCCATAGGATCATAGATCTACAGCTGGAAGGAACCTCAGAGGCTATCTAGTTCAAGATAGCCTCATTTTACAGATGAGGAAACTGAAGCCCAGGGAGGCTGTGACTTGCCAGAAGTCACAGAGATAAGTGTCAGAGGTGCTATTTGTGCCCAGCTCTCCAGAGACTGATTTTTTTCACTGTACCATGTTGCATTGTCTTAGACTTTTGCTCTTTCCTTGCATTTTCTGCACACACACTCAGAGACCACCTCCTTACTAAAGACTGGATGTCCTCTTGAGTGATCCCACTGGTTTTTGAGGCATCATGGTATGTATATTAGAACTCCAGCTCTGAAGTCAGAAGACCCTGATCCTTACTACACATGTGGTCCTGGGAACCTATTTGACCTTTCCATTTATTTTTCCATTTCCTTATCTGTGAAATGAAGGAGCAGGACTAGATGGCATCTGAGGTCCATAAAGAGGAAGAGTGGGTATACTCTTGACTCCCTGTTGCCACGTCCAGACTCCTTCCGCTATCATCAATAAGCAGCCTCTTTTTAAGGTTCACTCTATCCAGGATTATCATCCTATTTAGCTCTTGGTGGTAGTTAACTACCAGTCCCCAGATCATTCTACTTTCTTTCTTGAAGAATTCAGTACTTGAGTTCCACCCTGCCCCAACTCCTGCCCTTATATTTGGAGACTTCAGTATGCTTTTTGATGTTTCCTCAAACATCTCAGCCTTCTGGTTCGTTGATCTCCTTAGCTGCCATGACCTACACCTTCACTGCCTCAGTCCCACAAGTATGCTCTTCACCCTGTATTTCATCATCACAGCTGTTCTTGCATGATCCAATAGTCTGAAGTTCCTCTATCTGACTATAACCCCTTAACCTTCCATCTTTCCCTGTGCCTAACTCCTACTAAACCTATTCTTTATCCTCTCCATAACTTCCAGGCTTTTCTGGGCCATTAGATTCTGATGATAGGTTCTTGCTCTGGCTTCACTTTGCTCCCTTCCAAAGTTAACTTTTTTTTTTTTTGTTTTAGGCAATGGGGTTCAGTGACTTGCCCAGGGTCACACAGCTAGTAAGTGTAAGGCCAGATTTGAACTCAGGTGCTCCTGAATCCAGGGCCAGTGCTCTATCCACTGCACCACCTACCTGTCCCCAAAGTTAACTTTCAAACGTACACTGTCCTCTACCCTTGAATCAATTGCCCTCTTATGCTATTGCCTCTCTTACCTTGCCCAGCCTTGGTTTATACCCCAATATCTGATGTCTCCTTTGCTCCTATTCCAGTTCTTTTGAACAGTTCTGGGGAAGTCACACAAATATAATGACAAGTCCACTATACATTTGTTATATTTAATTTCTTTTGGACCCTGAATGACACGAGGCAATCCATTTCTCTTTCTTTTCCCCCATTTTCTGATGAAGAAGTGGTTCTTCTTGCCAAGACAAACCCCTTTACTTGTACCTTTGCTTCTGTCTCCATGGTAGGTAGATTATTACTGCAGTCAGAGGACCTAGCTTCAAATTCTTTTTTTTCTTTTTTTATTATTTTGATTTATCAACAATCACTTCCATAAGCTTTTGAGTTTTAAATTTTTCTCCCCCTTCCTCCCCAAGACAGCATGCAATCTGATATAGGATATGTACATATATACATATACATTCTTATTAAACATTTTCACATTACTCATATTGTAGGTAAGAATTAGAACCAATTGGAGGAACCACTAGAAAGAGGAAACAAAACACAACAGAAGAAAAGAAATGGCAAATGGTATGCTTCTATCTGCATTCAAACTCCATAGTTCTTTCTTTGGATGTGGATAGCATTTTCCATCATGAGGTCTTTGGAGATGCCTTAGATCCTTGCATTACTGAGAAGGGCTAAGTCTATCAATTAACGTTGATTAGTCATCGAACAACGTGGCTGTTATTGTATACAATGTTTTCTTGGTTCTGCTCACAAAAAAGAGCTGCTATAAATATTTTTTTGTTTGGGTTTTTTTTGGTTTTTTAGGCAGTTGGGGTTAAGTGACTTGCCCAGGGTCACACAGCTAGTAAGTGTCAACTGTTTGGTCTGAGTCCAGATTTGAACTCAGGTCCTCCTGACTTCAGGGCCGGTGGTCTATCCACTGCGCCACCTAGCTGCCCCTGCTATTAATATTTTTGTACATGTGGGCTAGCTTCGTATTCTCTCACTGGTCTACCATCAGTGTGATCTGGGCAAGTCACTTAACCTCACTGAGCCTCAATTTCCTTGCCCATAAAATGCCTTAGACTAGATGTCCTCTCAGGTTTGTGCCAGCTATAGAGCAATGAACCCATGATACTCTAGCAGCTTGCTCCTACAATCATCCCTTCTATCTCTCTCACTTTTGATCTCTCCCTGTCTACTAAAGCCTTCCCTATTTCCTATAAACAGGCCAGGTCTCTCTCGTCCTTTAAAAAAAAAAACCACCTTTTACTTCACTGTACCATTCCTTTTAAGCCATCATCTTACCTCTTCCTTTCTTAACTAAACTCCTAGAAAAAAGCCTTCTACACTTATTGCCTTGACTTCATCTCTTCTCACATCTCAGTTCCTTGCCATTTGGCTTCTTACCTCTGAACTTATACTGCATTCTCCAGAGTAACCAATAATTTATTAACTGCCAATCTACCTGCCTTTTCTCAGTCTTCCTCTGTGATCTTTCTGCAGTGTATTGACTACCTTGTCTTCCTAATACTCTCTCCTTTCTAGGGTTTTATAACACCACTGTCTTAGTTCTCCTACCTCTTTTGCTGCCTCTTTGAAGTTCTCTTGGCTGGATTATTATCACTCCCTATCCCCAGCCTTAGATGTTACCCATAGCTTTGCCCTTCTTTTCTCTCTCTACTTTCATTGATCTCATTAGATCCTCTAGGTTCAATTTATCTCTGTTCATATCTATTCAGATGACTCAAAGATTTCTACCTCCAACTCTAGCCCCTTGCTTACAATCCAGCCCCACATTACCAACTGCCTATTAGGTATTTTCTTCTGAATGTCTATTAGGTATTTTAAACAGCATGTCCAAAACAGAATTCTTTATCTTTCCTCCAAAATTCAATTCTGTTCTTAATTTGCCTATTTCTGTCTTGGGTAACATCATCTTTCCAGTAACTCAAGCTTGCATCCAAGAAGCTATCTTCAGCACTTCATTTTCCCTCACACCTAATAGCCAGTCAGTTTCTAAATCTTAAATTCTACTTCCCTGTGTCTCAGAACCATCCCTTTTCCTTGACCTACATAACCAATTTTAAGCCCTCATCATCTCTCACCTAGAACATTGCATTAGCACCGTAATTGATCTCTCAGTCTCTACCCTTTT